GGCATTCCTTACTTTAGCAGCACTGCATTTTTTCTCTTTAAAATCGCGGTATGACTTACGCCTGACATGTCCTGTACTAAGCAATCACAATATTTTAAGGTGGTGCATGCAAAATACTGAACGCAGAATAAATACTAAGCTCAGATGAAACCACCTTTGCATTCAGGCCCAGCTCCGCTCCAGACTCCGTTTGTTTTGTCCGCGCTCGTACAACGGATGCTCACATATCCAACAAGCTGGAAGCCAGAGTCGCAGCTGTAAGTCACGGTTGAGTTATAAGCAAATTTTTCCACACCTTCACCATCATGCTTTCCGTTGCTAATTTGAGGAGGTGAAGAGCAAGTAATTACTGCAGGAAAGAAGGTCAACATGAGTATTGTTAAAAGCTTCGGTAATAATGAAAATGCAAAATATTTGTTGAGTCCACCTAAGATTCTTAAAGACAATAAACTTTCCGGACAGCGGAAGAGGGGTAACTGCCTTCTGTCTCGATTCTCTGTCTTCTGTTTCTGGAGTGTTTCTGTTCTCACATCTTTCTCCCTCTCACTCCAAGGGTCACAAAAAATAAACAGGTAATTTGTCATGCTCTGGCTCGTGATTCCTCAAAATCTCATCCAATCACCTTCACTGCCACAAGTCAAGAGAAAAATATTTGGATCTTGTGGGAACAGAACTGCTGAAATACAGTGTCAGCTTCTCAGCTGCAGTGCTGGTGACAGATCTGCCACATAATATCAACAACAACAATGTATGAAGACAGGTTTAGACTAGACGTTAGCATGCGGGATCTACTGGAGTGAAGTCAAAAGTAAGGTTGGATTAATCTTACGTTCGCAAGTTGGAAGTTTACTCCATTCGACATCATTTCCTTTAAGCTGACACTGGATGAAATGACTCCCATTTAATTTGTACCTAGGTGAAAATACACAAGAAAAGGCAAATGCGTGTAACTATCCAGAAACTGAGAACAATTTTTTTCCCCCCGTACCAGCATGATCAGGACTGTAGAAGCAGCAGTTTTAAAGCAAGCAGGCGTGCAGATAGATGCTCCTTCACCCTGCTCTCTGCCAGGGTCCTTGCTCATCTGTTTTTAGGCGGTTCTCTCCTTTGACTCGTTGCAGAGAGCACCTTCCACTGCAAGGATGGGAGAAGTGGTAGCTGGCGGCTAGCAGAGCATGCAGTGAATGCCAGACAGTGCTGAGGTTAGACGTGGATTCCCACGAGGATGCATTGGGCCGGGATTTGCTGAATCAGGGACTATTTCTCCCTGCCTGCTTCCTGGCGGAGAACAGTGCTGGGATTCAGGCTGCTGCCTTTCCCACGCCGCTGTCGCCCGCCAGGACGGGGTGAGGAGGTGAGGAGCTCCCTCCTGAGCGCACGCAGCATCTCTAAAGGCTGTGGCTCAGCCCCTGACCGCAGCGGTGCCGCGCTACCGAGGTCAGGTGGCTGGATCTGCTGAAATCCTCGGTGCTGGTGGTAGCGGGCACGGCGCCCAGCGTCCCTCAGTGCCACCTTCTCCCTAGGACGTTGCTTTTGGGTTCCAAAGGTGTAGCGGCTTTGCTAAAGTTTTGCCAGAAAAGCCAACGGCGGCAGACTGCTGGCGTACCTTCCCAGCTGGTCTCTGCAAATAGTCAAATGCATCCACTACCTGCAGCAGGGACCAGTGAGGGGCAACGGGCATCGACACTGCATTAAAGTGGCCTTGGGTTTGGCTTGCTGGAAGCTAATACAGCTTCTTCTGATGGCAGCAACACCTTCCCCAATCTCTGAATTACACCCTCCTGTTCAAAAAAATTCATCATTTGGACATGAGTGATAGTATCTGATCTTGGATAGATGGATAACATTATCCCTCCACCCCGATGTGTATTGCTGAAGATTAACTGAACCCCGGGAGGATGGGACATGCTGTCATTTCCCCAAAGTCCATCCTAAGGGAATATCTGGAGAAAAAAACAGCTCTGTTACGTTCGAAGCAGCTGCAGAGTGACAGAACAAGTCAGATGATGCCAGCAAGCTCCTGCTCGGGAGGGAGGAGTACTAGCTGGAGTTTTAAGAGCTTAATTTTGCAAGTCAGTCTAACTGCATGTGTGCCCTGATTGAAAGCAGGCAGAAAGCGTGAGTCAGCTCACTGACGGATGGAAAGTGTGTTTCATTGCAGTTTTCTAGCTGAACATCATTGACTTTTAAAAATTCAAATATAACCCCTTTTTATTCAGTCTATCTCAATATGTTAAATAGAAATATTTTAAGTAACCTGTTCTGAAGTCTATAGTTATAAACTGGTGGTACAACCAGCTCTGTGGGGATAGGTAACCCAAGGCAGTTAAATTTCTGCCGAATGACGCTTGAAGGAAAAGGCAGCCATAAATTCAGACCCAAGTCCCTTCCCTCCAGCTGTGTCTTATTCCTTCCCAGCCCAAAGCGGTAATTCAGATGGGAAAAGCAGCCCCGCGCTCTGCACGCGGAGCAACACCGTCGGAGCGACATATTGTGATATAGCAGCCCAGCCCACGTCCACAAGTTCATTGCACTGGACTGGAGTTTGTATTCCGGCGTCGGCACCGGGGTACCGGAGCTGGGGGCATTGCCCCGCGACTCACCCGTCTTCGCAGGACACGTTCACTCGCGCACCGAACCGCAAGTCTGTGAGAGCGACCGTCCTGCCGGCGCGCGGCGCTCCCGGCGCGCCGCAGGACCTCCCTGCCGGAGGACGAGGCCAGCGTTAGTGGTAACAGACAGTGACGGAGAAATAAAAAAGGCTGAATAAGGACAGACTTAGAGGGTTATACCCAAAGGTACCAAAGCGTTTTACTGCACACGTGTGGCAGCCGAGCTGGCGGGAGCCAGGAGCGGCTGCGGGTGAAGGTGTGGGTCCCCGTAAGCGCTCCGCGCTCACAGCAGTAAGCACCTCGCGGGAGGGCAGGGGAGAAGGTTTACAGAGATATTTCCATCTCAATAGACTGTAAATTACTCGACTGTGAAAAATGTATTGCTGCCGCATCATCAGTCTTAATATTATGTGGATCTCACCAAGAAATACGCTTTGCTTTCATTTTGATGTTCAACACTAGAATTGCAAATTGCCATTTGTCCTGGGTGTATACCCTGTCCAGGTGCGGACGTATTTACTATCATGTAAATCAAAACAGATCTGTTCATGCCAGCAGAGAAAAAAAAAAGAAACCACCACTATTGATACTCCTGTTCAGTCCCAAGTTTTAATTTCAAGGAATATCCAGCGGATTTTGTTTGAAGCACGTAGCTGTTGGGATGCTGGTGACCCAGCTGCATTTCAGCACGCGGGTTGGGAGCAGCTACCTGACCTGCTCCCAGCTCCCCGGCTGCCTTTCGGCACGCGGAGCGGAGATACTCACTCCTGCACAGCTCGGCAGCTTCCGACCACGCCAGGTTTTCAAGGCAAGTGCTGGTGGGGGAACTTTCCGAGGTGTTCTCGTAGCCGGGGCGGCAGACGTAGCTCACGTTGGTCCCGACGGGAAAGAAATTAATCCTCTCGTCCCCCTTGGACAGGGCAGCAAACCGCAACCTTGTCGGGGCAGCGCAGCTCCC